GAAGATTTTATTTTTAATAAGCAATCTCTGTACCCAACATGGGGCCTGAACCTAGAACCCCGAGATCAAGAGTCGTGCGGCTCCACCGACTGAGCCGGCCAGGTGCCTGGGACCCTTTCAAGAATTCCCAAATGCTCTGGGAAAACTTTCAAACATGTAATCCCATTACATTCTGTTTGCCTAGGCCTGCATACAAACACCTCTTTCCCAACCATAACTCCGCCCAGCCTTATCCCAGAAGGTTAATGAGGCCCAAACCTTTAGGTCTTGCCAGCTGCACCGACTTGACAAATTCTCCACGATAAGTCTGTACTCTGTGCGGGTAGGAGGGCCGTACTTATCTCGGCCACTTCTTCTGTAACCATATCCACCTTTGGAAGGTTCAAATAGATAACATGACTTCAGTGGAGGAAAAGGAAAAAGTGACCCAGCACATATTCCCCTGAAGTGTACCATTTACCCCCACCCCACAACACAGCACATATATTTTAGTTCTATCCCCACCCCTTAATTCTAAACTAGATTTTTTTTAAAAAAAGCAATCAACTAAACATGAAATTTAATTTAATTTACGAAGTGGTAAGTATATATATTCATTAATATTATATTTAAAATTAACATGCATAAATTAAAACTATTAACAATTTAACAATTTAGAAATAAGTAACCAAATTACTAAATCAGTTACTGGTGTTACTCACAGTGATTAAAGTTTTTGTGAATATTTTATACGAAAAAAAGATTTTCAGGCACCTATTTCAGTTTAATCTCATCTGTGTCTAACCCTTGGGATCCTCACCACCCAGGTCTAATGGGGAAAGGTTGCGGTCGTCACATGGCTTCCTGTTTTGGTCAGCCAAGGGCCACAATGGTTCAAAGAGCCACGCATGGAAAGGTAACCCAAGGTCAGCAAATGGAACAGGCAGTCATCTTAGCCTCAAAGGATTCTTTTAATTAAAACATTGAGGTCTTTGTTAAATCTATGTTAAACAATTGCATTACAGAGAAAAAAAACAACAACACAAACACACATCATTAAACATATTTTAAAAAGTATTAAAACAAGAACTTTATGTCATTAATTAAATTAAAATTAAACAGTATCAAAGATGTTTATTTGCAATTTTACATTTAAAAAGATACATAATTTATAAAACAAATGGCTTAAATATCAATACATTTCAGTGTAACATTAATTAATCAATTACTTTAAAAAATTCACATTGAACAACAAAGGCATGTATGTCATCGATACAAATGCCCTTTTAAATGCTTACTGCGTCCAGAACCGTAACTGCCGTCTCGACGTGGGCCGCGGGCATGCTCAACAATTACTCGCTCACCACAAAGGTCTTTGCCGTTTAGTTCATAAACAGCATCATCTGCATCACGCAGATCATCAAACTCCACAAACCCATATCTAGAAGAGAGCAAACGAAGTCCCGGTTGGCACCGCTCTGACGCCCAGCTTCGCTACCGTTAAAGAGAAAGCAACGAGGGTCATGCTTAGCAAAGGTTAGGTGGGTTCTGCAAACTAAGGATCGGCTTTCTCTTCCCTGTGGCTGAAACCGCTTTGCTTTGTGCCAACAGGCCCCGCCAGAGGATGGGGAGGCTGCTCAAGGTAGACTCCTGTCTTTCTAGTAGGAGGCGGGCTAAAACACACAGACACCACTTCTTTCGTTCCCCAAGCAGTTCTGGTGACAACTGCACAGACCCCCACAGGGGACGCCTGGTATCAGGTATCAAAATACGGAACCCTACAAGGCTGAGTGTCGGCTCTTTCAAGTCACATAAAAACTCCTCTTTGGTAGCTTTCGCCCCCAAGTGAGAGCTTAGAGAACAGCTAGACCCGCGTGCAGGCGCTGTGCCCTAGCTATTAGGTCGTGGTTGGAATAAGGTTCCGAGTAAACAATCCACAGCACCTCAAATCTCAGTGAAAGAAAAGTTTTCAAGTTCCTGTTCTTCTACCTAAACAAATGAGTCACAAGTGAATTAACTTGTTCCAGAAATTATCAGTGAAAAAAAAATTCAGACCTATTCACTTCCTCATGTTTTGCAAATTCATTTTCATGAGGTTTTAGGTAGGCTGGAATTCTCTAAAATCTATGTATGACTACAAACTTCTTTACATAGTACTGCTAGGAATGTTCCGACAAAGAGGTTTGGTAGTTTAACACATTTCCCGAAGAAGACACCCTCCCCCCCTGAATCCTACTAACGCCTGGTAAAGAACACAACTTACAATACTCAACAGCAAATGTGTCAGATATTTCTAAGTAAGGTTAAACAAACACCCTATAAACTATATTATCAGTACACTTTCAGTGTGGTCTAACACCACGGCTGTGAAGTCTAGCTTTGTGACCACTACCTATACTTAAAAACCAAAACCATGTTAATGATTATACTTAGTCACCAAGGAAAGTTACAAGCAATGCCTTTAACAAAGCTGTGTCCGCAGGCAAACACTGACTAGTGTTCTGCTGTGTCTAAACACACTGGAACAAAGAACAGGTTACAAGGCTTGCCACAGGTTCATCCAGCCTGACCAAAATTATTCCAGTTTCCTTAGCATGTAATGCTGTACTCAGCAACATGGGAAGTGAGGGAGAGAAACCTGGAATTGCGGAATTTTCCCTTTACTGAAGAGTTCCTTTCAAACAAGAGTCTCCCAAGGTGACAACATACAGCTGACAACTTTGGTGGGTTCTTTATGCTGAAATGTCTATGAGTGGCATTCAAACTTCAAGTCACAGACACATCCAGTTGTTCAATGGGAAATGTTTTGGAAATGTTTCGCAGTAACACAATTCAGAAGCCACCTGGCTCAGTTTATGGGCTATGAAATCTAAAACATGGTTTTATGCTTCCATAAGGCTGGAACTGCCGTGCAGCTTAGTTGAGAGTCATGCTACACAAGGTCATTATTTGACAAAAGCAAAGCCTCTCTCAATCACTGACTTAACTACGTTAAGTGCCTTACAGTCACTGAAAATCTGTAATCGATAATATAATTGTAGCTGCTTCTTCCCTTCCTAAAAGTGGAAAGAATAGGAAAGCTGCACTGTCATTTTTAGGGACAAAAAATTAAACAAAAAAACAAATTAAAAAATCAAACTTTCTACTTAGGTTTATTTCTCAATGAATCATAAAACATTCCCCTGCCCCCAAAAGTACCTTCCTTCATTTAGCCGTCAAGACTGGTCATAGGTCTATTTTGCCCACAGCATCACTGATCTTGGCATCATATGGGCAAGAGCCTGATGCTAAGTAACGAGCGATGCGAGAAAACCTTCAGCCCCGGGCGTGATGAAGTGCCCCCCGGTGCCCCTCCAGGAGTGGCCTGCTGGCTCAGCACCATTCACTGACCCTGACTCATCAAATGTGATGTCAGAAGGACATCAACAACTCCCAAAGACTGAACAAATCACAGATACATCCAAACAGTCTTCTTCAAGATAATTAAGATTTACAGCGACTCGAGGGTCAGAGAATATGCAAGCCCCTAAGCTCTGCCAATCATCTGAAACAGCAAGCCCAACTTCTGTTAATAACAAGTGATGCTTCTGTCAGACCTCTGGGGAAATGCACTCTCCCAGACTCAAAGGCCGTCCTGTGAATGCTCACTCTACCCCACGGCTTACATGCAGAACCCATTCTGACCTGGATGGGGAAGTAACGGCAATCTGTTAAACGGAGGCACAATTATCTAAAAACAACAATCAATGCTCAGACAGGCCAATCTTTCTTTGCAGCCGAGGCTGAAGCAAGGCATACCTTGCCAATAAAATTCTTCCCTGAGTTGGAGGGACAAATTTGTGTTATGAGAGGAAAACAGCCCTTACAAATCAGTCCTTCCTTAATATTCGCTTCTTAAGTGGGTCACTTCGTAGACACATTTCTGGGTTATCCAAATCACTTAAAATAGCCACCTTGAAATCAAATTTATTTTGCACAAAAAGTTTGGCTACTACTCCACAAAACTGATTTGGGAAATTCTTAATTTTCATTATTATTTTTTAGTAAACTCTATGCCTGACACGGGCTCAAACTCATGACCCCGAGATCAAGAGTTGCACACTCTACTGCCTGAGCCAGCCGGTCACCCTCATTTGGGACATTTTAAATGTCAAAGTCCAGTCCAAGGATTATATTGGGCATGTGACTGTCACTGCTCTTGGCCAAGGGCATGCTGGGTGGGTTTGGAAGATTAAATCAAATATCCTCTTGCATCACAAGCCACACCTGACAGGACTCCTGTTTTGAGAGCAAAGTAAAGACCAGATCAGTGTGGTTGCTTTACCACATTATTGTTTATTTAGGTCTGCTTTACTGAAAGAATGACTGTTTCATTCAATATGCAGTGAATGGGTTCTCCAGATAAGGCAGGACGACTAAATGGTAACAACAAATTGTTACTTAACATTTATTAAGTAATCTCTATAGACTAGACAATGTTATCTTATATTCACAGTACCCAAGAGCCAGGTACTACTATCCCCATTTTACAGATGAGGAAACAGAGACACACAGTGTTGAAGAACTTGCATAATGAAACAGCAGAGCTGGCGTTCAAAGCCTGTGGTAGGACTCCAAAGGGTAAACTCCTAACTACGAAGACTGGAGTGGCAAGAACTGGCCTGGGTTCTAATCTTGGTTCTGCTACCACCCAGCTCTAAATCATTTTATTCTCCTGGATCTTAGTTCATCTGTGAAACGAGGGAGCTATACTACATTTCCCTAAGACCTCTCCTAACATCAAAGGTATGAGAGGTAAATGTTATAATGGCATAATTTTAGCCAATATGGTTGCATCAGAGGAATACAACAGCGGCAGATGGACAGGGATAAATTTAATTTTTATCATCTAGAATACCTTTTAAAACTATTTGTATGGGTCCAATTTTAGTTTTAGATTTTAATATCTCAACTAAATTTTAGTGCCTTCGAGATCATAAAGCTCTCCCTGATAAATGACATCAGAGGATCTTTCTAAACTGATGGAACATCCCTTTGTGCTTTGTAGCAAATAACAGGAAACTAATCTCCCCCAAAGCACTCTGCTTTTGAACCCTTTTGTCAAAATAAGGAGGGACACAAAATACGCACATGCATGTAAACGCACAGTACGCATAGGCATGCGTGTACAGATGCACGCCACCTCCGGTGTGACCTGTAAGCTCACGGACACCACCAACAGATTTCTCTCTAGCTGTGGACACCCTTCCCCTTCTACTCGGGTTAAAACCTACCATTTTTCAATAATGCAGTATGAGAATAAAGAAAATGAAGGAATTCAGGAGAATGAATCTAAGAACAAACTTAAAAATCCCTCCATGGCAGGGCTTGCTAAAAATAAAAACAAACAAAACCCTTCCAATGTGCCTCTTCTTGCTTTACTCCTGGATGTCTCGTCTCTCACCGCACGCCCCGCCCCCCGCCCCGCCCCATGCCTGTATGAAAGAAAAAGTATGGCCTATTAAATGCACACTATTTTTCAATTAGGAGAAAACCTTTCTTCAACATTTCTCTGCTCCTGCCTTTTCCCTCTTTTCCTCTGGGTCGTGTTTTGTGCTGACAAATTTAGCCAAAACAAACAAACAAACAAACAACGATGGGAGTGCCTGTCGTTTTCTCCCTAAAAACTGGGGACCCTGACTGTTACCCAGTATGGACAGGCATCTGGACGCCACAAGAAAAGCCACCCCGAGTTATGTGGGCTGCTGTCCACTTCAGTCCAGGCTTCTACCACTGCCAGTGCTCTGGTCCCCAACAGCAGGTGTCCTGCCCAGGCTATCAGAGCTCTGCAACGCTGGAACTGGAATTGCACGGCTTTCAAACGAAAGCACTCCAAGACTTCACTTTTCAGAAATGTTAATCACACTTTTCCACCCGAGAATGATCATCCGAGCCTGTGCTACTGCTAAATAGGCTTCCCCTGGTCCTAACAATCTACACCAACGGCCCCCGACACCACTCTGCACGCTCCCCTGGAGAGCATGTGCCCTTCTATCCCCCCTCTTTCAGAACGGGTAGGGTCCTCTCTGTCTTCCAGACGTCTTCACTGAATAGGGAGGCCAGGGAAGAGTCCTGTCTGAAAAACGAGGAGCAGGACTTCTCTGGAGGCATGCCGTCAAGCTAACGGGCAGGGCGTGACTAACGGGGTGCCCGCTATCGGCCAGCTGGCGGGGAGTGGATGAGAGGAGCGAGGGAAAGCGAGCCTCCATGCGTGTGCCTGCGATCACCCACCAATGCTGCTTACCGAGGGGCACGCCTTGGTTGTTCTCTCTATAAGAAACATTTGCCCCTTTCCACAGTAGATCTCTGCTCACCTTTGTCCTACAACTGTGCCACATGCTTTTCTTTGTATGTGGACATGACAGTCCTCAGCCAACCATCAGCAGGATGTGAGTTTTGTTT